CCTAAATATCATATTTCATAAAAATTAAATAATTCTTAAAAACATTTATTCGCCATATTGGATCCTCCATTTTGAATGTTTCAAAACTGACTTCAGGTTCGTAATCAGCGACCCTAAATACAACTAATTAACGAGTTTCAGTAAAAATGGATCGATTTTTAGAAAAAGTTGTCCTCCATGTTGGATCCGACATTTTGAATTTTTGAAAACTGACTTCAGATTCGTAATTAACGATCAAAATTACTTATGGGTACCAAGTAGCAGAACATTTGGGTGAGTAGATTCACCAAAATTATATTTACCTTTTAAGCCATATCAGTTATCCAGGATTTCAAAATTAAATTTTAAAGATGGACGACAATAGACGGTTACAAATAAAGCATGATCTAATACAAAAGTGAGTACTTTATAAGTAAAAAATAGTTTTACAACAGTCAAATCCAGCCATTAAAAGTTATAGCCTTCCAAAATGAATAAAATGAAACGTAATTATATAAGTTAGTCCTATATAGCCATCATAGAGACAGATAATATTAAGTAAAAATGTTAAAAATATTTTTAACATAGAGGATTTTGCCTCCAATTTACTCTACAAAAGTTCTTAATTCCATTAGTTGCAAAGGAATTGAATAATTGAATAATTTATAAGATACATTTTAAGTACAACTTTTTACGAAAAATAAGTTTCATTGGATGCCAATTTTTAAATTGTTATTAAATAAAAAATACTATTTTTTCAAAAAAACTAACATTCATACGTTAAAACACAACAACTAAACATGCTATTCATAAAGAATCTATATTTTTCAAAGACACTTTTATTTTGACTTTTGTCCAGCTAGATTTGCGATTCGTACCACTGTGAGCCGCCGACTTCGCCGTACTACCATGATATTCCAGGGCACGTGACTCTACTAAGACTTTATTTAGACTTGACTTAGACTTGACTATAACTTAGACATTAACTAAGACAAAGATTAGCATTTGACTAAGATATGTACAGTGACTTGACAATGACTTGGACTATGACTAAGACTTTGACTTAAACTCTGACTAAGACTTTTATTAAGACCTTGGCATTGACTAAGACTTAGACTTAGAATAAGACTTAGACTAAGACTAAGACTATGACTAAGACTAAGACTTTGACTTAAACTCTGACTAAGACTTTTATTAAGACCTTGACATTGACATTGACTAAGACTTAGACTATGACTAAGACTAAGACTTTGACTTATACTTTGACTAAGATTTAGACTACGAGTTAGACAAAGACTTAGACAAAGACTTAGACTAAGACTAAGACTTAGACTAAGACTAAGACTTGGACTAAGACTAAGACTAAGACTTAGACTAAGACATGGAATAAGACTTATGCTAAAATTTAGACTAAGACTAAGACTTGGACTAAAACTTAGAATTTAACTAAGACTAAGACTTAGACAAAGACTAAGAATTAGACTAAGCCTTTGACTTATACTTTGACTAAGACTAAGACTTAGACTATGACTAAGACTAAGACTTTGACTTAAACTCTGACTAAGACTATTATTAAGACCTTGACATTGACTAAGACTTAGACTAAGACTAAAACTTTGACTTATACTTTGACTAAGACTTATACTAAGACTGAGACTAAGACTAAGACTAAGACTAAGACTATGACTATGACTATGACTATGACTATGACTATGACTATGACTATGACTATGACTATGACTATGACTATGACTATGACTATGACTATGGCTAAGATTTATACTAAGACTGAGACGTAGACTTAGACTAAGACTTTGACTAAGACTTAGACTTAGACTAAGAATTAGACTTAGACTAAGAATTGGACTTTCACTATGACTTAGACTTAGACTAAGAATTGGACATTCACTAAGACTTAGACTAAGACTAAGACTAAGACTTAGACAAATACTAAGATTAGGACTAAGACTTAGACTAAGTCTTAGACTAAGACTAAGACTTTGACTTATACCTTGACTAAGCCTTTTACTTAGACTAAGAATTAGACTTAGACTAAGAATTGGACTTTCTCTATGACTTAGACTTTGACTAAGACTTAGATTAAGACTATGACTTAGACTTTGACTAATACTTATACTGAGACTTAGACTTTAACTAAGGCTTAGACTTTGATTAAGACTTAGAGAAAGACTTAGACTAAGAGTTGGACTTTCACTTTGACTAAGACTTAGACTTTGACTAAGACTAAGACTTTGACAAAGACTTAGACTTAGACTAAGAATTTGACTTTTACTAGGACGTAGACTAAGACTTAGACTTTAACTAAGACTTAGGACTTTGACTAAGACTTAGACTAAGACTAAGACCTTAGACTTTAACTAAAACTAAGGCCTTGACTTTGACTTAAACTTATCATTTACAAAGTCTTAGACTTGACATAGACTTGACTAAGACTTAGACTGTGATAAACATAAATTTCTTTATTACATTGTCGGGCGTCGTTTTGCTTTAAAAAATTTTTACTTCCTAGATAAATGAACAAAGTGAAATTTTTAAATGTTTTATAACATTTTTCCGAACTGACAATAATATGAAAATTGTAAAAAAATAATAAATTTTTACTATTTTACAAATTTCTCATTTTTTAAATGAACTAAAATTTTTCATAATGAACTTTATGATTGATTCTTTAAAACTGAAATAAACGTATGAAAAATAATAGAAATTATGAGCAAAATCCTGTGGAATAAATATTAAAAGAAAAATCCGCTTAAAATAAAAGGATTTCTTTAAATTTAAATAAGTATATTATTTTCTTAGTAACCCCTCTTCATCCCTAACAAAAGTCTGTTAATTTATGTATTCTCTACTATACCTACTTATGTACAATATACTTCTCGAGTAAAAATTAAAAAAAAAATTTTCTTTGGGTCAGTTCAAAAATAAAATAAAAAATAAATTCCCGGTTTAGTATCAAATTTCCCGGTCAATTTTTCAATTCCCGGTTTCCCGGTTAAGTGGCCACCCTGAATAATATAAAGAAGATTTTCAAATAGGATACTATCAAATTTTTAATTTCAACATGTGACTTATCAGAAAGGTAGCCCTAATACTACAACACATTTGGAACCAAATAATTCTTTCGTAAAAATATTTGTTGGCCCTGAAAAGGGCCGATTGTTTTTTGAGAATGGTGGTCAAGATTTACTTGGAGCTGGTGTACTTGGTGACAGCCTTGGTGCCTTCAGAGACGGCGTGCTTGGCGAGTTCACCAGGAAGGAGAAGCCTGACGGCAGTTTGGATCTCCCGGGAAGTGATGGTGGACCTCTTGTTGTAGTGGGCCAAGCGGGAAGATTCGGCAGCGATGCGCTCGAAGATGTCGTTCACGAACGAATTCATGATGCTCATGGCCTTGCTGGAGACTCCAGTGTCGGGGTGCACTTGCTTCAACACTTTGTAGATGTAGATGGCATAGCTCTCCTTCCTCTTGCGCTTCTTCTTCTTGTCGGTCTTGGTAATATTCTTTTGAGCCTTGCCGGCTTTCTTCACGGCTTTACCACTTGCTTTAGGAGGCATAGTTAGTTTTCAGAGAAAAGTACGTCTGAACACAAAAGCAATTCAGGGTGAATTGATGCTTTTGGCAGGTAACGGCAACGTATTTATGTCCGCCTGCAGTGGCAGTGTAGCCTTTTGATTGGTGCGGGCACTCACTGCGACCATCTGCCACTCACGGCACAGAGAGGGGAGCGCAGTGGAGGGGGACCCTATGTAGAGAGCATAAATAGACGGATTTTTGAGGCATTAACATCATTCTCTTTGAATACTTCGTTGTTTGTACTTCGTTAACCTAAAACTAAATCAAAAATGTCAGGACGTGGCAAAGGAGGGAAGGCGAAGGGCAAGTCAAAGACCCGCTCCAACCGGGCCGGACTCCAGTTCCCAGTGGGTCGTATTCATCGTCTTTTGCGCAAAGGAAATTACGCCGAGCGTGTTGGTGCAGGTGCTCCAGTGTACCTAGCCGCAGTAATGGAATACTTGGCTGCTGAAGTTTTGGAGTTGGCCGGAAACGCAGCTCGTGACAACAAGAAGAGCAGAATCATCCCCCGTCACCTTCAACTCGCCATCAGGAATGACGAAGAATTGAACAAACTTCTTTCTGGAGTAACCATCGCCCAAGGTGGTGTTCTCCCCAACATCCAAGCTGTTCTCTTGCCCAAGAAAACCGAAAAGAAAGCTTAAATTTTCTACCTATCTTCCAACAAACAATCGGCCCTTTTCAGGGCCAACAAGAGTTTTTTACGTTTGAATTCTATGTTCTTTACATTTATATATAAAATCAGAACCAAAAATTTGTTATACACAGAGAATGTAGTAACTTTTATTGAGTGTATAGTTACATATGGTCTTTCATAAATTTATATTATGGTATATTATTTAATATTTATAAATCCTTTCCACATTTATGTAGCATTGAAGGTATGTAATTGTTAAAATAAGGATTGTACAAATGACAAAATTTACAGTGCAATAGAGTATAGTAAAAAATAAAGACGGAATTTGAGATTGGAAAAATTTAAACCTTCAAACACAAATTATTTTTCTATTATTTTTCTATTATAATTCTATTGAATTTTCTTATGTTTGAGACAAAGAAAATTCTTTCGTAAAATGTAATTTTAATTCTTGTAAAAATTTCTTCAGAGTACAAGGAATTGGTTTAAAAAATTTAATTTAACTTCTGCAAAATGCAAATTAGTGTTTTTAACTAAAATTCTACTATAAATCCATTATTTTTAATAATCAATTAGATGTATATAAAAATGTAACTAATTTCAGAAAAATTTGAAATATTACAACCTTTAAAAAATCTAAGTTCTTTAAAATTTCTAATTAAATTCATTGCAAATTGAAGTTTTGTAAAATTACAAATTAATACCCTTTGAAGTTCATCTCTTTATGAATAAGATTATTTAATTAGAAATTATTGTTAGAAATAGAAAAAATTGAAGGGACTTCCGGTTGATGTGTGAGCAAAGTTAGACGCGTGTCCGTGAGCTCTCGAATTATTAGAAAATATTGAAGAAAAAAAAAGTGTGATGGTTGTAGAAGTGATAGAAAAGAATTAAAAGAGGACGATAAAAAGTTAGAAGTAACTAAAATTTGGATATTGGAACTGAGAAAGTAAAAAAGTGAGACCAAAGTGTGGAAAAGGATTTGAAGGTTAGGTACGAAGTGAAAAGGTGGTAGAGAGCGTAGGAAGAAATAGGCGTGATCTTGACTAAAGTGGTTTTTGACTAAATGAATTGTGTGTCACGAGAGGTCACTAGTGATCGTAGTGTTTGTATTTACAAATTATAATTCGATATAGATAGATGGGAAGACCACTAGGAAGCAAAAATACCACGAACAAGTCAAAAGATTCAACATTAGAGATGTTTGCGAACAATAAAGAGAAAGTTGAGTTTCAAAAAAGCATGGAGAAAATGCTGAAGAGTATAGGATCAGAAATAAAGGAGGATTTGAAAGTGCAACTGAAGGATCAGAAAGAGGACTTGATAAAAGAATGGTCAGAAAGATTAGAAGCAAGGGAAAAAGAATGGAGAAAGGAAAAAGAGAATTGGAAAAAGGAAAAGGAAGAACTGTTTCAAAGAATAAGAAGATTAGAAAGTGACAAAGAAAAAAAGGAAAGGGAAAACAGAAAATTAAATATAGTATTAAAGGGTGTGGAATTTTCAGAAGAAAAAATAGAGGAGAAAGTGGAAGAATTTATTGAAAAGAGTTTAAATGTGAAAATAAATGTAGTGAATGCATACGTAGTAAGAAAAAATAAGGATGACAAAAAAGGAAAAATGGTCGTGGCAAAGCTACACAGTTGGGACATGAAAAAGCAAATAATGAAAAAGAAAAAAGAATTGCAAAGAGGAATCTACATCGATGATGATTTAACAGAAAAAGAAAGATCAATACAACAAGAAGTGAGAAGAAGGGCAAGAGAAGAAAGAGATAAAGGAAAAAATACAAAAATTGGTTACATGAGTGTTCAAATCGAGGGTAAATGGTTAAGATGGAACGATTGGGAAGAATGTTTCATAGAAGAAGGATCTAACAGAAAAACAAGAGAATAGGGAAGAAGGGAAGTAAATGGAGAAAATATTTGCGGAGTGAAAGCTTGTACCCAGGTGCGAAAAGTTGGTCGGGCCATGGTCGCGCCGACCAAGTGGATAGTCGTGCCGACCTTGGCAACCAAAGGTCGGCCGAACTAGCGAATTGTAACACCCGCCGTCCAGTGGCTGACATGGTCGGGCCGACTATGGCTGCCAAAGTCGGACCGACCAGGGGTGCCAAAGTTTTGCCAACCATGTGAAAGAATGTCGGCTTGACTTTGGCAACCATGGTCGTGCCGACCTTGGCAGCCAAAGGTCGGCCGAACTAGCGAATTGTAACACCCGCCGTCCAGTGGCTGACATGGTCGTGCCGACTATGGTTGCCAAAGTCGGGCCGACCAGGGGTGCCAAAGCTTTGCCGACCATGAGAAAGAAGGTCGGATTCACTTTGGCAACCTTGGTCGTGCCGACCTTGGCAGCCAAAAGTCGGCCGACCGATTGCAAAAAATTATTAATTATTTATTATTATTATTAATTATTATTATTCATTATTTATTTGTTTATTGTATACATCTTAACACTAAACGCAATCTTACACATAAATACAAATTAAAATTTCTAACGCTCGCAGGAATCGAACTCGCAACCTAACGCACCGAAGTCTAACACGCTAACCATTACGCTACGCTTACATGAAAGCCTAAGAACAAAAATGATTTTATAAGCTGCAACTTCAAACTGACCATCGGCCCGACTCTGGCCAAAGTCGGCCCGACCAAGTGAAATTAGGTTTTTTGCACTCTGGCTGCCATAGTTTTACCGACCGTCGGCCCGACTCTGGCCAAAGTCGGCCCGACCAACAGAAATTAACCTTTTTAAACTCTGGCTGCCATAGTTTTACCGACCATCGGCCCGACTCAGGCCAGAGTCGGCCCGACCAAGTGAAATTAGGTTTTTTCAACTCTGGCTGCCATAGTTTAACCCACCATCGGCCCGACTCAGGCCAAAGTCGGCCCGACCAACAGAAATTAACCTTTTTAAACTCTGGCTGCCATAGTTTTACCGACCGTCGGCCCGACTCAGGCCAGAGTCGGCCCGACCAAGTGAAATTAGGTTTTTTGCACTCTGGCTGCCATAGTTTTACCGACCGTCGGCCCGACTCAGGCCAGAGTCGGCCCGACCAATTGAAATTAGGTTTTTTAAACTCTGGCTGCCATAGTTTTACCGACCATCGGCCCGACTCAGGCCAGAGTCGGCCCGACCAATTGAAATTAGGTTTTTTAAACTCTGGCTGCCATAGTTTTACCGACCGTCGGCCCGACTCAGGCCAGAGTCGGCCCGACCAATTGAAATTAGGTTTTTTAAACTCTGGCTGCCATAGTTTTACCGACCATCGGCCCGACTCAGGCCAGAGTCGGCCCGACCAACTAAAATTAGGTTCTCTAAACTCTGGCTGCCATAGTTTTACCGACCATCGGCCCGACTGAGGCCAGAGTCGGCCCGACCAACTAAAATTAGGTTCTCTAAACTTTGGCACCCATAGTCGGCCCAAACTTGGGTGGAAACAGTAACCAAAGTCGGCCCGACTTTGGCTGCCGACCTATTGGCAGCCATAGATGGGCCGACCTGCGCCCGACCTTGCAACTCTGGCGGCCGACCAAAATTCGCACCTGGGTATATGGAACATTGCGGGGGTACTAAATAAAGATAATGAGACGTGGAAATATTTGAATACTTTTGATATAGTGGGATTAACGGAAACATGGATTGATAGAGATAATTGGAAGAAAATAGAAGGAAAATTACCGAAAAAGTTTAATTGGAAATGTAGATATGCGGAAAAAACAAATAAGAAGGGAAGAGCAAAGGGAGGAATAATAACAGGAATAAGTAAAAATATTACAGAAATCGAATATAAAGAGTGGAGTAACAACGTCGTGGAAAGAAAAATTGAAATTAACCAAAGGAAATTTAGAATAATAATAGTGTATAGTCAAAGTATAAAAGAAACGATAAAAATATTAAGAGAGGGAATAGACGAGAAGGAAGAGGAAACATTGATACTGGGAGGAGATTGGAACGCTCGGACAGGAAATGAAGGAAGAATTATAATAGAAGAAGAAGAGAATGAAGAATATACAGAATCAAAATATAAGGTAGTAAATAGAGAAGGAAGGATTCTGATAAAGGAACTAGAAGAGAGAGGTTGGTCAATAATCAATGGAAATAAAGGAGAGAAAGGAGAATATACCTATTTAGGTTCAAAAGGAGCATCAGTCATTGATTATATAGTCGCCAATCAAGAAGCAATAGATGAAATAAAAGGATTGACAATAGGACAGAGAGTGGAATCAGATCATTGGCCTTTAGAGTTGGAAATATATGGGAAGATTAAGAGTAATAAGAAAAATGAAATAAGGAAAGAATATGAAACTATAGAAAAGAGAGAATGGACAGAGGAAAATATTAGGAGTTATCAGGAATATTGCTGGGATTGGGAAAGCAAGGAAGAAAGTACAGAAAAAATATGGCTAGAAATTAAAGAAAAAATACAGGAAGCAGTACCAAAGGTACAAAGAAAAAGATATAAATGGAGAATGGGAAAGAAGCCATGGCATGATCAGGATTGGAAAGAAAAAAAGAGAAATGTAAGAAGAATTTTGAGGAAATGGAGGAAAGGTAACTGTAACAAAGAAGAGTATATAGATGAGAGGAAGGAATATAAGAAATGGTGTAAAAAGAAGAAAACAGATTTTGAAAAAGAAGAAGAAGACAAAATAAAAAATATTAAAACAGAACAGGACGTATGGAAATATATAAATAAATTAAGGAATAAAAGAGAAGCAATAGATACGGAGATAGTGATAGAAGAATGGAGAGAACATTTTATGCAAAGGTTCCAAGGTAAAGAAAACAGGGAAATTTTGGAGGAGGAAGAAGAAGTCGAAGAAGGAGAAAAAGTCGAGGAACAAAATGAGACGAATGATCAAGATGAATTAAACGTTGAAGAAGTTATAAAGCAGATAAAAAGACTTAAAAATAAAAAAGCACCGGGAGAAGACTCATTAGAGAATGAATTTTGGAAAAATATGCCATCACCAATTGGGAATGCCTTTTGGAAAATGATTAGTAAGTTATGGAAAGAGGGTGGCATACCGGAACAGTGGAAGGTCGGAGTAATAAGCACAATATATAAGAAAGGAGATAAAAACAAAGTGAAAAATTATAGAGGAGTAACGCTCATGGATACGGCATATAAAGTGTACGCAAGTATATTAAATGAAAGATTAATCAATGAGATAGATGAAAAACTGGAAGAAAATCAATTTGGATTTAGAAGAAAAAGAGGAGTGATGGATGCGGTATATGTGTTAAATCATATAGTAGATAAAGAAGTAGGAAACAAAGGAAAGGTTTTTGCATGTTTTGCGGACTTGAAAGAGGCTTTTGATAGAGTAAATCGAGGAAAGTTAAGAGAATGTTTAAAGAAATTCGAAGTTAGCGAAAGACTCAGGACAAGAATAATGGAAACGTACAAGGAAACGATTAACGTGGTAAAAGTGGGAAAGGAAGTGTCAAAGGAATTTTGGACAACAAGAGGAGTTAGACAAGGGTGCCCAATGAGTCCAACATTGTATAATGTTTATATGAACGACTTAGAAGAAGATATGAGAAATGGAAAGGAAGGAGGAGTAATGATTGGAAACAAGAAAATATGGACCATAACATATGCGGATGATATAGTTCTATTAGCATATGGAGAAGAAGAATTAAAGTTTATGCTAAAAAGATTTAGAAAATATTTGCAGAAAAAGGAAATGCCACTTAGTCCAGAAAAAACGAAAATTTTAGTATTCGAAAATGGAAAGAGGAAGAAGAAGAGAGAATGGAAATGGGAAGTGGAGACTTTAGAAGAAGTAAAAGAAATGCGATACTTAGGCTACATAATGCAAAAAAATGGAGGGGCATTGAAGCAAATCGAGGAAAGAAGAAGAAAGGCGATTGTAGCAATGAAAAGCACATGGAGTATAGGAGAGAGAATATTCAAGGAAGATTTTAAAAGAAGGATGAAAATGTTTGTAGCATTAGTAGAAAGCGTGGGTCTCTTCGGAGCAGAGGTGTGGGGGTGGAAAAAAGAGGAAAGTTTGGACGCGATCACGAGAAAATACTTAAAATGGATTTTAGGGCTGGATACAACGACACCGAATTATATACTGATGGAGGAGTGCAAGGTAGAAGAGATGAAGGTAAAAGCAATAAGAAGAGCAATTAGGTATGAAGAAAAAGCGCGAAATTCCAAAAAAGAACTGGTAAAGGAGTGTTTGAAGGAAAGAGAAAGTGAGGGCAGAAGAAGCAGTGCAGGAAAATGGGCAAAGGACAGGAGGAATACATTGAAAGAAATAATGGGAAAAACAGAAAGAGACATAGAAGAGCAGGAGAATTTCGAGAAGGTGGTAATGAAAAAATTGAGAGAAAAAGAGACGGAAAAAAGAAGACAAAAAATAGAAGAATCCAGATATAATACCGTATACGGATTAATAAAGACAGAGGAAATGCCTAAATATTTAAAAACGAAAATGAAGAGGAGGGATAGAAACTTAATAGCGAGATACAGATGCGGTAATGAGGCTAAAGCGAAATATTATTGGAGGGAAGAAAAAGAAAGAATTTGCAGAATTTGTAAAGAAACGGAAGAAAGTATAACGCATATAATTAGAGAATGTGAATGGACAAGGACTGAAGAGGAACTGCAGAAAATTTTGGGAGCGGAAGGACAAGGTCTGGAGATTTTAAAAAACATTGAGAGGCAGAGAGAATTAAAAGAAAAAGAGAGCCAGCGGATTCGTCAAGAGTCTTAGATGATTTCACCTTTAAACTTTGTGTTTTACAATTTGTATACATTTATAATTTATAATTTCGAAATTTTATTTTAGATTTTATATCTTTATTTTATATTATGTTATTTGATAATTTTGTCTGTTCCTGAAGTTTGGAATGAATTACTTATTTAACATTTAAATTAACAAATGTAAAAATGTCGAGTGTTATGTTATATTACTTATAATAACAATAATAATAGAAATATGTAATGGAGTGAACCGGAAAGTCGTTCAAAGCCGAAAGGCATGAACTATGTTAAATAAATAATAAATAATAATAATAGAAAAAATTGAAGGTATCGTTTTGATTTCATAGTTTATAAGTCAAACAAAAAAAACGCAAAAATTGAAAATATTCCTATGAATTCTAAAAATTTAATTTTTTCCAGTACTTTTAATAAAAATACCTAATTTTTCTTTGACCAACTCTATTTTCCCTGAATTCCCTGACCTGTGGTAACCCTACATCTGTACAGAATTTATGAACAACGAAATTTAAAATTAGAAAAAATTTAAAATAAAAATTATTTCCATATTAGATAATTCTAATATATCATTCTAAAATACTTATGTTTGGGACAAAGGAAATTCTTTCGTAAAAAGCAATTGGTGGCCCTGAAAAGGGCCGTTTGTTTTCAATCATCCGTTATCAATTTCTTTCCACTTTACTTCTTGGCAACCCTCTTTGCCGCGGGCTTCTTCGCCTTGGGCGCTGCAGCCTTCTTGGGCGAAGCTTTGGCCGCCTTCTTGGGAGCAGCCTTGGTCACCTTGGGTTTGGCGGTGGTGGACTTGGCCTTCGGTGGCTTGGCCGCAACCTTCGGGGTCTTCTTCTTCTCGGCGACGGCTTTCTTGGTCTTAACTGCCACGGCCTTCTTCGGAGAAGCTGCTTTCTTGGCCTTTGGTGCTGCAGCAGCTTTGGGTTTGGCGGCAGTCTTGGTCTTGGGCTTGGCTTTGGCCTTGCCCTCGGCCTTGGCGACGTTCAACTTGAAGGACCCTGCAGCGCCCTTGCCCTTGGTCTGGATCAGAGCCTTGCTGGCGACTGCAGCCTTCAGGTACTTTCTGATGAAGGGAGCCTGCTTCTCGACGTCGACTTTGTAGGTGGCGGCGATGTACTTCTTGATGGCTTGGAGCGAAGAGCCGCCTCTCTCCTTCAAAGTGGCGATGGCCGCGTTCACCATCTCCGACGCTGGCGGGTGACTGGCCTTGGCGCGGGGCTTCTGCGCCTTGGCTGCTTTCTTCGGAGTCGCCACTGCAGGTGCGGCTGGGGATTCTACTTTGTCTGCCATTTCGTGGAGATAGTTTTCAAAAAAGTTCAAGTAAACTCAGTGATGCTCTCAACGTGACTTGTGAGACTGAAGTGACCATTTTTCGAAGAGAGTCGGGTGTTAGTAAAGCGCACGAACGTTGAAGAAAGACCCCGACGCTCGTTGGGCGTCTACCTTTTGAATTTTCGCTAACTTGCGAACCACATTCAAAATATTTTATATTTTTTAATTATTAAATTATACTTATCGTTTTGATAATATATTGAATTTCACTTGCACGAATATTGTCTTCCTTGGTTCTTTGAAAATATTATTTATTTTTGTGGTAGTTTCCTGCAAGAATCAACACTTTCCGGACCTCTGATGTAAGTGAACGAAGGGTACAAGTTCTGAAAGTTGTTAAAAACATATTAACAAATTGACTTTTTAAAGATTTGAGTTTCAATATCAACGCTTCAATTATCACTCTTGTGAAGTATTTAAATTATTTCATTAGTAAATATAAACTGAAGGCGTGAAAAGCAGTTTAATTTAGGTTTGAGTTCTAACTCTCAATGTAGTTTGGTGGCGCGTGGCTAAATGTGTAGTTGAATAATAGAAAATTTATAACAATTTATGATTATCATTATTATGTGGTTTAATATACTTTTAAAACAATATTTTTCTTTTTCGCAGACATTTTTTTGTACTATAGACCTAAATATATTAAATATTTATATTTTCGAGCAGCATTCAAGATATATTATATATCTCCTTCTCTTATAGTTTTAGTTAAATTGTATTTATTTTTTTTAAGAATTACTTTGTGGTATAATAACAAAACCATTATAATAGTATTTGAAATAGTAACGAGAAGCCTGATTTTCTTGTTAAATAGTCTTCTACTTATTAATATATGTTAAAATTATTTTAATTGCAATACAAGAACACAGAAAAAACTGTGTAAACAAACAGATTGGACCGGGAAAAACTTTGTTTCTAAAATCCGATTCATTGTATTTTTGGAAAATTGAAAAGATTTTTTTTTTAGGTTAGAACTTGTAAATTTATAAGTATCAATACCAACCATGCAAAATAAAATACAAAGATTTTAATACTGCCTAGAAACCAAAGATAATGACGCCATATTTAAAATTAAAACTATTTAAAATTCTGTAATATGAACACTATAATAAGTATTTGTTATAAAGTATGTCAGCTAATGAAACTCTATATGTGACCTGGTCTATGAAAAGGGACCTTACGTGTCAAAAAATCATTTTTTACTTTTTTGTTGATTCGGATAGGGTTTGAAACGCTCTTTAAGATGGTGAAAACCAAAAAGTCATAAGTTGATTGCAAGTTTTTA